CACTGAATTCTTTACTGATAATATACTGATCAACTGAAACTGCTACAGTCTTGATGAACAGAGCAACCTTATTTTAGAATTGGTTACATTTATATGCCAGAAGGAGAAAACAACTAGAATACTTTCTTGAGGAAGCGTTCGCTTTTAGCCGATCAACCGGAATCTGGTATAAGCTTAGTAAATCCGCGTAAAGTCCTTACAGGCAACCTCAGGGGCATAGCAGATATTCTGAACCGTGATGCATTTTTTAAATAACTCTAAATATGTCCTTCGATCGATCACCTGAATCATTCAAGAGCACATTACGTTGATTCAGAAAATGTTTCCCTTCGATAAATAATTGTTGCCAGTGTCTGAATTGTCCCAGTACCAACATTTGCTTTGGTATCCTGAAATGATGCAAGACTTCATTCAGCGATCATGTTCCAGAGGTGTTGATTAGCGAACTATCTGATAATACTATCATATATTATAATACCGTTGGGGATTTTCGAACTCGCAGTGACCGTTGTTTAATGAGTATAGTTTACCTGCGCAAAGAAACAGGATGAAACCTTCACCTACTTTCATTCAAAAATTCTTCTTTACGTAGAACTATAACCAGGCAAAAAAAATTGCGCGGCCACAGGGATGTGAGGACGGGCACGTGATAAAGAAGTTATCCCTCTTGATCAGTCTTCATAGACGAAGTGTCAAAGCTCTCCTCTGGCGTTACTACTCTAATTTTACCTTTAACAGATCGACCTAGAAAATTCATTCACATCGCTTCCAGACGGACGGCTGCTTATGTAAACTGCAGGGCTTTTTTGTGTTCGTACAGAACCACGGTGGTAGCATATAATTGTGGAATACGGAATCGATCTAAGCGTTGGTGTTAACGGTTCTGTTTTGATCAGCACGTTATACCGCCAGTGGCGCAGTAGCATCGTGAAAATTATGCACATCTGAATATTTGCCTGGACTTCTTGACAGAGTAGCTTTTCTGTATTGTCGTTACAGTCCGAAGAGCATACTTATGAAAGTCAAGGAAAGCATAAGTTTTGTTTAACCTATTAATCTACTCGCATATCATGGCATTCATCCCCACTGTCCAGATGCATTTATATTATATCGCAGAAGCAAGGCGGCCGACACTGTTGATGCATTTGTTTAGGAACTGTCCAAGAGCAGCGTTTCTTCAGTCAGTGGAGCTAGAGCATTTAACTCAGAACCATGAGATCCAGGGTTCAAACCCTTATCAGATAATTTGTATTTTTTCCTTATGAGGTTGATAAATGAGTATCACTCCGTGTGGGAAAAGAACATGAGATTGTACAACAATACAGGTCAAATAGTTGCTTTCGACTGTCTTTAAAATTAGGTATTCCTGGCTGATCGCATGGAAATGGAGACAGCGCCGAACCATAAACTTCACGTAAAAAGGTTAGCGACAGAGTTTATCGGATCATGAAAGGCTAAGTAAAACCATCATTCCAGGGGTTAAAAACTTTCTTTTTTCGAAACAGGTGTATAACTCGAACGAAGGAAATTAAAAAGTAAATAAGCCTTTTTATCGATTTGAAATAGATCTTTCATGGCAGAAAGCAGACGAGAAACCATTGTTTTTATGACAGCCTTAATTTTAAAGAATTTTACACGCAGTTATAAATCAAGTCATGCTTTCAGCCTCGGTTTTGAATTTGAACGATCTGGTGAATAAGACGCTTGAAGATATGAGGCACCGAATCAAAAATCATATTACTGGGACGATCAGTGGCACCCGCGGTACGTGATAATTTTTTTGTTTGCAAGACGTTTAACGTTTAAATCATACTGACCGATGATGAGCTGTTAGGCTCTTGTAACCGTTGAACGTGAATATGTCAAACTGCCTCTTGTGTTGCGGAAGATAGGAGAGATCTAACGAAGAAAGAAGGTAGATGACACTCGTTTTAAGGTCGTCCTTCTCAGCAACAACAGCAATAATACCTGCGTCTGTCTGTTCAATTCTACCTTCTGGCGTGGTTATTGTCGAAGGCTTAAGAGTGGCAGCTGTCTGTCATCGAGAAAGCTACGGAAGGAAAAACTGTTGGGAATCTCAGGTCATGATTCCGTTCCGACTACGGTGATCAGACACTGGACAGAAGTGAAGAACGTCATCTTCGAAAGATGGCAGTAGGTGTAACTCTGGGCCGAGCATGTAGCTTGGCTGTCAGACAGGAAATGGTCAGTGATCATCGTCGATTGAACCTCCTTATCGCTCACCACGACGATTGGAAGATTATATTCGGAGCCGAGAAGGTCGATCTTGAAGAGAGGAGGAAATAAATCTCCAAATCACGAGGAATGGGGTGGGCTTATTTTGGCTTACGCGATTACTTACCGATTGCCAGCAGACAATATTGGACCTTGTGTCAAACAGCTTGGCCATACGTTTTGCCAACTGTATAATTTCGACAAGGTTGTCAAACCACAAATTGTTTATTCACGACTCCTTATCCATTTTCTAACCAGCTTCATCTTCACAGTTTCAGTCTTTAGTGATTTTAAGTAACATTTAATGAAAAATGTTTATGTTCAATCGTTGTTCGACCACTCTGTCTTTAAGTAAGTTATGTGAAGAACAAAATTTAACTGATCATCCCTTTAAATCCCGTTATACTACTGACTGATATTCGCTATATTAAATTATTAACTGATATTTTGTCAAATTAGTGATACAGCTGTTGAACCATGACTTTTAAATGCGAGTAAAGCGGTGTTTCAGGAGCATCTAATAACCCGATCACCAGTGAGCTGATGATCGTTGTGGAAAAGCCGCGAACCAACGGGTCAGTGATCGAACAGAAATCAACTACCTCTTCGGAAGATATAAATATGTTAGGTAGAGATTCCTTGGTGTTTCGACTGTAATGATTATGCTTAAATATGAGTTTTTCAAGGTGTCGGTAATTCGACATCCGCCGTTAATTCAACGACAGCTGTTGATGGTGGCAGCGACTCGTCGTCTGCTCTCATAGAACTCGAAGACGTTTTCGGTATCAGGGGTGACCGCGGTCTAACCTCGTCAAACCTCCCCACAGATCCACGCGACAACCCGTCGTCGTTTATTATGCAGAATTTTGAAGGTGATCTATTTTCAGCGCATTAAATGCTTTCATTCGGCTTGATGCAACATCCCACTTATGGCAGCTGTTATCCATCACTTCGAAGGATGACTTTTCCTTCGGCCATCCCGGCCGCGTGTCACACGAATAATTGGCTTTCATTTCATCTTTTACGTAATTCATGAAAATTCATCTTGTTCTTCCATTGAGAGGATTGGAGGCAAGTAAAAAGAATTCAGCATAATTTGCTTGAGGATTAATATAAACGGTGTCCATTTCAGTATTCTCTCCCGATTTGTAATCGATAGATTCTAATATAGGTACTTCTATTTTAAAAGGCATTCATAAAGTTTATCATTCTTGGTTTCCATCTGGTTCGATCGACCTCTCATTGTTGATGACAAACTTTTGAATTACTATAACGGTATAGAAACACTTGCTCCACCGTTAGTACTACCACCGTACTAGTACTTCATCCTGTTTCAAAATGATGTACTGATTAAATTTGATCATCGAAAAACGTGCTGTTCGCTTGCTACCTTAGTAGACCCTCCTCGTCGTTGTGACTGGGCACTGAAGTTAAAATGTGAAATGTATTTCGTTAACTCTGAACGTGAATCTTTCACCTTAGCTAGTGTATATTTCGTTTGAAAATGTAAACATTACAGAATTCGACCTGCCAATCTACGTGAAACATTATTAAACGAGTTATAGGCGGATTTACGTTCGAAGAGGAAGTTTTCCTTGTACAAAGCTTTAGCCGTTGAACATTTAAAAGTTTAAAAATGGCAGTGCAGCGCACTTCGTATGCCAGTGATGTCCCGAAAGTAGAAACGGCTAATGGTGATAACTACAACGTGTTCGTTTTCAGCTATTGTTAAATCTGTTTGGAAGCGTAATCTTTTTAAAGTTTAGAGAGAACTTTGCATTCACTGTGTTATCATTAGGTTCGTAATTGTAATCAGGGTATCCTGCTAAAAATAGAGTTTCTTTTAAAGGTTAGTTGAGAGGTTCGTAGTCCCCCCTCGTTTACCTTTTGATGATTTCTTGCTGACCTTATTAGCTGATTTAATCGTTGCTCTCCTTCAGTATTGTTTTAAAAATGGCATAGACATAGGTAACCTTTCATAGGCATAAGTGAACTTTCTTTACACGTTTTTCGCCCTCCTTAAGTTTAGTGGTCGATCAGTGCATTGCATTGCACACTTTCTCTGCTTCCTTGTTTTGCTCACGCGTTTCTATAGTTCGCTGTATTTGTCTTGTGTGCTATTTCTTGCCTTCATCTAATGACGGTATATTTTTGGATACTTTGGCTTTTGCCTCGCGGCTTGTTCAAAAAATGTTTTGGAAGCTTTTTATTATTACTTGATATTTTTGAGGTTCTTTACAAGGGAACGACTTAGTGTCGACCTCAAAAGCATTGCCGGACCTGAAACCAAAAAACAAAGGCCTAGCTGATCTTCAACATCTGTCTGAAAAGTTGATCGAACAGAACTTACCTCGGGGTCTTGTTTCGACGGCAAAGTCACAGTAAGTATTTGTGCATGTATCAAATGATTCTCCTTATTGGACATTTTCATGACCAGTGTCATTTGCTATAATCCTATCCTCGTTTTTTTCGTAACGGTTGACTTGTTTCAGACAAAAGAGATCTTTGAATGAGTTGTCTTCTTGGAACTTCAGTAAGGTGAAACCTACCTGCGACAGGGAATCTGCTGCAGAAGCGAATGCTAATCTCATAGCGACACTCACTTCTGACTGCGGAGATGGTAAATGCGGTCACGAGGACAAATTTTACTCACTGTGCTTTTGTTCAGACGTAATTCTTGTGGATTCAGTGTTGTCGCTTCCGGTCTCTGAGAATTCGTTAAATGGCCTCCAGTCCGCCACGACCAGCTCGAAGGAAGAACTTGCAAAACCAAGCCTCAACCAGCTCGATTATGTATTTGTGCCGTTGGAAAAGGTCATTCCGGGTAGGTTTGTTTAAGACATTAATTCTAGTGTTGTAAACCGTAAGCGTTTTCTTATAATCACTTGAGTTTTGGCATGTTGCCTTTAACGTAAAGCATCGCTTGTCCACGTGTCTGTTACAACAAGTAGATGAGTATGGAGAGCTTCCGAAGTAATGTTTTAATTTAACACTTCACTAAGGAGCTTAATTATGCCAAAGGTTTCAAAGACGTTATGCTGGTTTCAAAGACATTGTTCATCATTATTCACCTCCTAGACGACGAGAAGCAAGGGAACGCTGCACCTCTGCAAAGTAGATCCTATATTAGAGATTGAAAAGGTATGCTTTGCAGTGTGGTAGCTACCCCATGACACTTGTGTTCTCTTCTGTCCGTATGTTTGCCTGCGGTCAGTGCTAGATTTAATATGTGCTCGAACGCGCCCCTGTTCAGTATAATTCAAGCATACGCTCTTGTATCCGGTTCACTGCAGGGGCTCAAACACCATGGAGTCTTGGCCTGCAATAATGCCCCTCCCCGTTGGTGACTAGACGCCAAGAGTCCGGCGCTCTCACTTCGAGAAAATTCGTTGTCAGAAATTTAAATGTGATTCATCGTTAATGTTCTTCGTTAATTTACGTTGCGTGCAGCCAGAGGGTGTGTTGTTATTAGACTATTTAGTTATCGAGTTATATAGTTTGCTTCTTGAACAACCGCATTGTTACTCCTTGGATATCCATCCTTATAGTTTGCTCAATTGGCAGAATACTGAAAACGTTTAAAAAGTCTCCTTTTGTTGATTGGTACAGTACGTATATTCAATAATTTATCATTGTATTTTTATTGTAATTAACAGTTGAATGTTCTTAGTGCATGAAGAGTGTTTTAAAACCTACTTGTTTCTTGTAGAGCAACCTCCCGTCCCTCACGCATCTTCATTTTTCGTGACGAACATGTTTAACCATGATTTTGGGGATTAGACCGGTGATCCATTTCAGTTCTTCTGTTAGGGTGTTCTGTGTCTAATTGAATCGTAGAGAACAGTGTGTCTCAGTTACAAATTACCACTACCTTTTTAGCCGATCTTAGAAATTATTGCAAGTCTTTACAGCCAAGTAATCTACAACCTTTTGCACCTCATCATGTAATTCCATTCTTTGGTTGTTGCACGTCCTACTGTAAAATGAGCATGGTAGATTTTTGAAAGGCGATGTCGAATAAAACCTCATAAATTCGCACATAGGAAATTTAATTCTTAAATTCACTGTATCACTGCTGACGTTTTGGTACTATTCAAAACGTTAATGAGTTGATTAACTGTTTTCATTAATCTGAGATTAGTAGGTTCCAGTATTCATGTTTTGTCTCGCATAATACACGGTTGGCTGTAAGTAAATGTTTTGCTTTAGAAAAGTCATCGGTCACCGTCCTCGATAAAGACAACCTCAAGATCGTGTTGTACCAGACAAGAAACAGACCTGCGGAGAATATCGTTGTGCTTCTCTTTTGGATTTCCAGCACGAACGTCGAAGAAGTGACCAACATCGCCTTCGATATCACCCTTCAGCGTTTGGAGGTAACGGGCACCTGGCAGATGAGAAATTTTGCTGTGTTTGATGAATCGAACAGCGAAAAGCGATGTTTAGGATTTCGCATGCAAGTTGCAGCCGGCCGACGCCGAGTCGTTACCTGCGTTTAATCCGATCTCGCCGCTGATTTCCATATCTAGAGTTCTGTTGGTTCTCTCTCGACATAGCATTCCTGATGAGGTAAGTTGTAGGGTTTCGCAAGTTGGTTATGTAAGTTTATGATTCAGTTCAGAGACTCGAAAGGTAATCTTTATTTGTAAAGTCGCATGACAGCCAGTCTCTAGGCCGAGCATTCGAGTTTATTGAACTCTTAGTATCAACCCGTCTTAGAGCACGGTATTTCGAGTTTACTTAATTGACGTACGGACAGGAACATGAAATCTTCTTGAAGCTACTGTTCTCATAAAATGACAAGTAGCAGGTTTCGAAAATAAATCAACAGGGTTATAGGGTTGTGGCTTATGAACGAAATTTTTTGCTTATAACTGATTTGTTTTTATGTTCTTTCCTGCAGCTAGCTCATTTCTACAGGCTTTGATGAAAATTCTGAAGTATTTTCCAATTTACGAAGAGCAAAAATTATTTATCATGCTTAGGTTTTGACCTTTTATTGTAATTGAAATGACTAGTGTTCAAATTCTACAAATCCATTTTGTAGAACATTATGTTTGATTATGTATTGAAATTCAAAGAAGTCCTTTACGGCTTCCGTATAGGGAGTTTATTATATGCTTGTTGTCCAACGTTTCGGATAATTCTCGATTTGCCTTAAGGGATATACAATAAAACAGTGTTGCAGTATAAATTATTCACAGGTATTCACAGTATTAATTATTAGTAGTGAAAGATGCTTCGTAGTTTCGTTACATTTTAATTTCATGCTAACGTTTTCATGCATTGGTTTGATATTGCCACGTGCGATGTTACCAACGTTCCCTTTATCTTTCTACTTCGTTGTATTATTATGTTATATGTTGAATCATTATGCACCTGCTTGACGTCCGTGTATGGCTTGCGATTTAATACAAGTGAGATTCTGGTTCACAACAATTTATTCAATGCTTATTTTCTTCTCGCACAGTTGTTCGCCATTTCGTGTTTGTTAATGGAATATTTGATTTTCATCTGTTTTTGCGCGCCACATACCTGTGCTATAATAGGCTTGTTCAAGCAATTGAAATCATAAGTGTAGTGATTTCTGGAATTATTTCTTTCGAATATTCTCAAGGCACAGAAGGCAAGCCGAGGCTCTTTTGTCTGGTAACCTGTTCATTCAAGAATGACGCTGCATAGTAAGTTGAGCGTCAGAACACTCTGAACTGGGAGATCCTGGATTCGAACTCCGTCCGGCTCCTCGCCTTTCTTCATTTCGAAGTTGATAAATCAATACCGCTCTGCGAGAATTAAACAGGAGACTACATGACACGCTTGTCACGTGGCTATAGCATCCGCCTTTAAAATAATGCACTCTTGGCTGGTGTCATGGAAATGAAGATCAGATCTCTCCTGATATATAGGTAGTTATGCGTGTCTGCTGTCCGCGGAATGTAACTTCATAAGTATCTTTGTTTTACGGTCGGAAGCACCAAAAATAAATCGTCGAGACACTTAGACACTGGCTTGATCGTGGAATCTATACAAAATGATTTCTTGCGTTTGGCTATTGATGTATTTCAAATGATCTTTCCAAAGACGAAGAAACGCTTTCGATCTTTTGGTTTTGGAAAGTGCAGCCGTAAAAACATTGGAGCAAACTCTCTTCTCAGAAATACACTCAACAGGTGTTCCTTCAGTTGAAAGTACCGATTATTACTAAAGATATTTTCTGGCAGTTCTGTTGGTACGAGCTTTTACGTTGTTTTTGGAGCACAAACGTTAACTTACTAGTCTGAAGATGGGAAGTTTAGTCCTTTAGACTGATGCCATATCATGAGGCAATCACTAAATGTAGAAATTTGAAGCTGCGTTTCTTGAGGGATTGTAAAATTGTATAGTGCAGTTGATTTTCTTTCACAATTAGATCTGATCTTCGTGGAAGTTAATTTTTGAATTGCGAAAGGAGAAAAACCTTGAGCAAGAAAATACCGAGTGGTGTATCACAGATCAACAGCTACTGACGAACACAAGCAGAGTATATTTATGCAGTTAGAATAATCTTTTTTTTTAATTCTTGTGATTGCCGTTTCGACATATCTGATAACGATAATATATAGCTTCTGCATTAATAAGATATTGCTAACAGTTTTAACTACTCATTAAATAGCCACAGTATTAATCACTTTTTAGACTTTCTTTGTATAAGCAAAATAAAAAATAGAAAAGTCTGAGCTGTACCAATAGCCGAGTCCTCACTTTTTATTTGTACCGAACGACGCGGCGAATATGTATCTTGACCACAACTGTAAACAAAGAAAGATCGAAACTGCAAATATTTAACTTTGGAGCTAGCGATTGTTAGATAATGACCTGTAATGTTTACTTATATAATTTGTAAAGCTTATTTGTAGCCAAAATTTTACTTATAAAATCGAGACTATTGCTTCATTCACGTTGAGCACCTGATAAGCCAGTCCTTTGTGAAAATGACGGCATACTACTTGTGAAAGCGCGGGAGCGAAGGGGTTCTTTTCCTGGTTATTTTAAGGCTTTTCTGGTTCATTCGTCATTCACCGTTATCTAGGTAATGGTATTCGAATCAAGACCTACCATCTTTCTGCAGTTACCTAGTAGTACTTTTAACTCGACTATTAACGTATATTTCCAAAAAAAAATACAGAATTTTTTCCCTGTTTGTTTGGTTATCACTCGGTACCTATGTCTCTCGCTTTGCAGGTTACGGTGCCAATGGAGTTCTCATTCTGTTTTTCATTGTGTGGTAAAGTTCACAAAGAAACGGGCAGCTTTAACGTCGTCCTAAACTTTCGCAGCTGCGACACGTCGTGATTTTTCCATCCAAGGTATCATTCCTTGGCCTCAGCAATTTCGCGACATTCGGTCGCAGCAAGTCGATGACTTTTGTACGAACTAATGAAAACTGGGCAATTGTGTCACTTTTTATTTTCCTGATTTTCTTTTTTAATAGTATTGGTAATAAATACGAGAACAATATTACAAAATTTTGGATATTTCAAGAGCTTTCTTCTCTGCCTCTTCATCACTGTCAAGGAGCGCGGGGAGAGCTTTGTCGGTCAACGCTGTAGGTATGTGTTCGTCGACCCATTTAAGCTCGTCCTGCGACAAAATGTAATAAATATAACACAATATAAAATGAAGAAAAAATGGCGAATTACCTCAAGATTCGGCTGAGTAGAGCTTTTATCTTGATTCTGTGCTCTCTGACTGGATCGCAGCTTCATATCGTCTTTTGTGAATGCTTCGCTAAACAGCGTATCTTCTGAAATCACGTATCGTTATGAATAAAATATCATCGTAATTAATAAAATAGACACCGAAATGACAATCAAGTATGTAACATCATACTAAAATTCTGTCGATTCTATGTGAAAATGCAATGTCCGTAGAAACGAAGACATGGACAGTTTGTAATTTGTCATGTTGCTGCTACAGAAACACGGTACCATGATTTCGAAAACTTCGTGAGAATTTTATGCTGATTACTTTGAGGCTTCTCATCATTTTATATTTTAGTATCGGTAGTATGCCAACAGTAGTTCTAATATTAGCAGCACTACTGTTACTACAGCTAGTAGCAACATTACTCGTTGCTTTGTTAGAACTAGTTGTCACTAGTTTAATTAATAACATTACCGTTACCGTCCAGGTGAAAATTTGTCGATACCGGCATGGACTGAAACTAATTTGCTTTTCTGTCCGAACCGATAATTTGTGATTTTTGTCGCACTATTGCTTAGGCCTCCGGTTACGCCATCGGCATCATATACACTGAAACATGCCGGCAACAATGCTGAGGATTAGATACAGGGGATCAGTTTAATAGTTTTTAATGGCATTAATCCCGTGAAACCACGGTAGTACCAGTTTGAACTAAACCGCCAATCCGTTTCAATCTATATCGTTATGGACTGAATTGCAAAAAAACTTCAGTTTATATCGGTATGGTCGGACTACCACTGTAGGGTAACAGTATCATCATTAGAACTGGCAGTAATACTACTTTCAATATTAATATCACTACTAGTCTTAGCAGTAGTATTAGGAGCATTAGTATTAATTTTAGCAGTGATACTACTGATTTAACTGGTGATAATAATATTAGTTTTAGTAGCAACGCGTTACTAGTAACATTGGTATTATTTTTCATAGTGCACTTTCACACATCTGTCACACAACTGTTATTTCTTTACACAGTATTTCTGCCACGAAAGCAAGCAGTTACCGTGACAATGGCAGTGGCAAGTGTTCATCGAATAATGCTGCCAGTATCGTTATTAACAGTGATACTATAATTAGACTAAGGCAGTGATTTTGAACTAAACAGCATGGCAGATATCACCGGTCTGGGCAATTTTACTGCACAAAGCCTTGCCCGCCTCAGATACCAGTCGTAACAACAACAGTAATCATGAGCAATCACAATAGCTGAAAACGTACCGTCGTCATCGTCGTCTGTTTCGTTATCCAGCAATGGACTGAAAGCATATCGCTGGTTGTTCTTGGTCGGCCGCCACAGGATGATGATCACAAACAAGATTAAACAAAACAGGATATGCCAAAACGCCACGTCCAACCATCTAAAGGCAACTGTTATACACAAAAGAGCAGTATATAAAGAGTGTATAGCTTATGTAAATTCTTGACAAAACTTAGAATAAGTCTGCTACTTAAATGCAATCTAACTCCACAAGTGAGATGCAGGTCACACTCCCATGTGGGGGTAAGCAGTTGCAAGGGGGACTTGAACAGCAAAAATAGTAATTACACGGTCAAACAAACAGCTGTTAAAGCCTTGACGTGTTAAAGCTTGTAAACAAGCCTGGTTGTATAATCAATACTATTGAGCAGTAAGAAAATAAAATGACGAACAAGGGGATGCCTCCTGAACTCAATACTGAGTTAGCAATGATGGATAAAAGAATCAATCCCTGGGTTTGACTCTCTTGTTGGCATATGTCTGGTTCTTGAAAGCCAACAAAATTACTAAACTTTTGTAACCGCAAGATCGATCACAGATGTCTAACTATCCGCGGTCATCATCAAAAATGTTAACGAGATCACCGGTAATCAAAACAACACAGGAAGTATATAGAATCCATGACCAAAAGGTCGCAGGTTCGAAAGTACTGAACAAAGAACCACACTCCTGATTGTTAATATCGTCCATGTCATCCACTTTCGGTTGGCAGGCAACATTGAATAGTCATTTTAATATACGAGGACATGGTCTTCAGCTAGGTTATTGCCGTCATTCATACATCTTATTTTCATAGAATGGCAATCGTTTCATGCATCCAATCAATATCAGTAACAGCTATGAGGAGTTTTACAGCGTGAAATGCAGGAACGAACTGTGACACATGAGAGTGTAAAATTTTGCGGCGAACCAGCATAAGATTAATAACTAGTTCGAAGCGAACTAACGCTCACAGGTCAATGAATCGGTGTCTATGGGTTGCGGGTAATGACAAAGGTAAAAGCCCTGCGAAGGAAAGTACGCAACTGCCAATGTACTTACACATCCTGCCAGTTGCTCAGACACGTCGACAAACCACAGACGGCCAACGACCAGAACATGAAGATGAGACTGGCCGTGACAGCGAAGATCAGCGTGTTCGTAAAATGGCGGTAGAGAGCTAACTTCACCTCATTTCTGCGAAGTCGCAGGTTACGCGTCGTGTTGACCAGCGCGCTGAAAATCCAGTAACAGATCACCATGTCGATCAGGGTCAGCGGAATCTTGACCAATAGTTTGTCCATTGTGGTGTCGTGTGGCAGCTATAACATACACAGCAACGTTCAGTACACAGAAAAACTATTTCGTGACTGCGAGACATTTCGATCCTCTTAATCACTCAACAGCTCACGATTCCTGCAAAACAAGTGTCATGTAAAACAAAGTCTCGAACATAAGGTTTGCGTTGCATTAGATAATAACTGTTTACTTTTCAAC